TTGCAAATGTTTCTTCGAGAAAGTTCAGTGAATACCTGGTACACTAAACAGGAGCTTAGCACAGGTGCTGTGAGTACTTTTGTTTTGATACTAAAATGTTTTTTGTAAAATGGGGAAGTGCTATCTTATGTGTTAGACCCACACATGATCTTAAATGTAACCCCAACCTCTTTACGATTCCTCCATGTGTATGAAAGTCCGTGCCTGGGTGCTGGTTTATGGCAAGCCTGGGCGGATGCTGGGCTAGAGGGGACTGTCAGGGCTCACCCTGCCCCACAGGATGGGCTCAGGCTCACACCAGCCCACCGGGAAAAACACATAAAGGACCCTTTTTATTCCATTAATGTTTCCTGGAGCAATGTGTCTCATGTTTGTACATTTCTTGACTTCCTTTAAACTTCGAATTCAGCTAAAAGCATACAGCTCTACTAACTTCAGCAGAATTGTTTGTAAACACAAGGCTTTAAGTATCTTCTCCAAGAACTCTGTTGTTGCTATTGGATGCAGCATGTGAAAAATGAAAGGATGACTTACGGTGCTGAATACAATCCATTCATTCTCCTCCAGCTTCAGTGCAGAAGGCTTTCATGATTTTATGTGATGTTTCTAAGTGGTGAAAGTCACATTCAGACACATTTTTTTAGCTAAGTACAGTGACTTGATTGCAGGCACACAGACAATGTCCTTCTGATGTTGCAGCTCAGGAGACTGCCTGGCTTGTTTGCTCTATCACATATACAGAGTAACTTTTGTTCTTTGAGCCTGGTAATCTTGGTTTGAGGCACCTGGGCAGACTCAAGTGAGCCTTTGTATGATTGTAACAAGGATGTTACCTTACAATGCGTGCTCACAGGCAAAGTTTCAGCCCTAGGTTGCATCAATTTTTAACACCTCTGTGGAGCTGTGGTGGCTTGACCTTGGCTGGCTGCCAGACACCCACCCAGCTGCTCTCTCACTCCCACTTCAGGGAGTTCATAGTTTACACTTCAGGACACTAATATCAAGATTTGCAACGGGTACCTGTCTAGAAGTAGGCACAGCAGATATCTGCTGTTAGGAAGTCGTTTCCAAAGCCAGACACCAGACACCGTGGTGTCAGGAGGCCCTGAAGGCAGATAAGTTCTGTGCTTCTTCCTCCAGTGGTTTTGTTGTGTTTTTCATATTTTGCTCTAAATCTCCACTGCTTTCGTGTTAGTGTTTCTGCTTGTACTTATCCTTCCCACCCCCCTGAGCCCTTTCTCTTTCCACTTTGAGCACACTCTAATGTTTTCTTGCTTATGGATAGTGTTGAGACATTTCAGTGCTACGTGAAAGCACAAAGCTTTGTCACCTCCCAGAGACAAAGCAAAAGTGTCTGCAGGCAGATGAACGAAATGGAAACGTTGACAGGTCTGAGTGCTTAGCAAACTGTGGTCCTGGTGACTGTGCAGTTTATGCCCTCCTAGGACTGACCCCATACAGCTCGCTCACATTCATTCAGACTTTCTGGTCCTGCCTTATCCTATGGCATCAACACCGTTACTGTCAGAGCCAGGGAAGGATGAGTCTTCCCAACAGTCCTTCTTCCTTATAAGGTGGGCAGCCTACAATTTGAGGAAATACGTCCCATTTCCTGGAAATTCTGTGCAATGTAAAAGGAGTATGATCTGTGTGTTTGTGTGTGCATGTACGTGGCTGATAGAATTATGTAAAAAAAAATTGGTTCCTTACAGTTCATGAGTGTTTACGCACACTGGGGCCAGTTTGACCCTTCCTTGCCACCAACTTATGCTGGTGCAGAATTTAGTCTATTATGTTCCTCTGGGTTAGAGTGTCCTTGAGATCTGTTCGTCCTTATTCCACAACATCTCATGGAGCCTGTGTTGGTGTTCAGTGGAGGTTTTTGTGAGGAGTTAGGTGCTGTATTCTGGTTTCAGTGATGCATTTCTTGCTTTATTTGGGATTCTATCCTAAATGGGTCATTTGTGTTTGTGAGCATGAAAGGGAAGATCTTACTGCTTAGAAATGTATTTTATTTATATCAGGGTCCATTTTTTTTCAGAGACTTCCCATTTACTTTTATTTCAGGTCACTTTTATTAATATAACCAAATATAGAATGGTCTTTTCCTCTTTGTCCTCAACTCATTCTTCAGTGACTCCCTCTTCCTCTGCACGACACATACATCCAAGGTGTTTTGTTTTCAACCTAAACTGTTGGGCACTCACTTGTAATTACAGTAGGAATTTTAATCCGCTGTAAAGAGAACTAATGAATGTATAATTAACTAATGACAGTCTGTGGGACTAAGCCTAGCAAAGTGAAAGCCATAAAAATTTGGAGCAACTGAGGTGGAGCTTCACGGCTTCACTGCAGCGTATGGAAAAGTCAGTTCTGCCAGGGTAGTAAAGTTGAGGAGATTGTTTGACAGCTTGGGAGAGGACAATGCATCTGGATGTGTTGGGAAAGAATAGAAGGAGTGGAGGGTGAAAACCAGAGGAAGACACGTGTCTTTCTCTCCCCATCATTTCCACCGTCTGATCTGATCATGGGAATGAGCCTCCTCCTCAGGCCTGATTTCTCTTCAGAGCCCAGCTGCCGTTGGATGGCGCTACCCTCCTCCGTAACCATTAACTCTTCCCCTTGCGTGCTTCCCTTGGCAGCAGTAGCAGAAGTCACAATTCTAGTGGGCAGAAGCAGACACCAGCTGGTTGGGTTGCTCTGAGAAAAGGAGCGGGCCAAGTAGGCCATGCATCTGCTCCCTCTTTGACGGGCAGGTTTTCAGGTACTAACAGCTTTGCCTGTGCCAGCCTGACCTGGAGGACTACTTATGGACAAGCCTGGCCCCTTAGGGAGCATGGAGGGAGTGCTGCTGTTGCTAGCCACAGTGCCTCCTCCAGGGGCTGTGCAGGCAGGCTGCACAGCTGTCTCCGTGGCTCCGACCCTGTTCGCTTTGTTTGCTGAACCCCGACGGGGTTAATGAGGCTGCGGTGAGGTGAGCTAGCCTGGGCTGCATTGGGGCTGGATCCTCTGGTCCGCCAGATTTAGGCCATCTAAAATTAGCCCCTAGCCCTAAACCTCAGTCATACACCCGAATCTTTCTACTGCTGCCTTAATAAAAGCATGCAGGGTCGTAACCCTTTTGGTTCTAAAACGAACACTGACTTTGGAAGCAGCTGTATCCATTTTATATCCATTCCCACATCCTGAAATATTCCTACCTGTTCTTTTGTACATCCCTCCTCTTAACATTGCTACTTTTTACCGCGTAAATGAAGAAATGCCAGATCCATGCAGCGTGGGGGTGAGTAGCTTACCTGTACAGATGCAGCTGCTGTTGAAAAGCATACCTGAGTAAATGCGTTACAATTCTCCTAAATACTGAGATAAAGTCTAGCGTGTAGTTTTAAATAACAGGTAGTTCTTGATCTGCCATAGCGTTTCCAGTGACTCACCGTTCCCGCCCCCCACCCCATTGCAGTAATTACAGAAGAGTATTGCAGTCCCTGACTCAGAGGGAGGCTTCCTTCCAGGGCTTCTGGCCATGCTGGAGCTCCAGCTCTGCAGCCATATGGAGCAAATTGTGGGGGGCATCATGTGCATCATGTGGGTCCCTGTGCAGACCCATGGGAACACAGGGCATGAGGCTCACGGGGCAGGCCTGGGGATGGGGCTCGGCTGTGCGTCAGGTTGTGAGGTGGGAGCTGTGGGGTGAGGTTTCACGTGCGCTGATCCCTCGAGCTCCATGAGCACCATCATTTCTTCCTCTGGGGAGGAATTCAGCAGGTACTGCAAGCCAGCACGTCGCGTACACACTGACTGGCTGCAGCTGTCCTGGCCACTCCGGGAGCCACAAAACAGCAGCAGTGACATGCTGCCGAATGTGACCTGTCAGCCCTGCCACGAGGACGCTCAGGACTGTGGGGGAGGCAAGCAGAAGTGGACCAAAGGGCTCGAGTCTCCTGTTTGCCTTGTGAGATGTCAGATCTGACAGGCACACGGACAGGTCTTGGTCCTCTGTTGTTTTCGTGTTCATGCAGCTTTTTAGATTTAGCAGAGCTGCACTTCACTTGGCGCTGCTGCAAGCAGCTGTGCACAGCCGGCCACCAGGTCTCTGCTTCTAAGAAATGTGCTTGAAGGTCATCTTGCCATCAGCTAAGTGTATTTAGAAGCAGGTCTGTGGAAGTCGTGCCAAGTTTCTTGGACATGGGAATAGATTTTCCTGTACCTTAAATGCTGCACTGAACCCCACTGTCTATTTTGAGCTGAATAAAATCTGCGAATTTGCTTTCCATTGTTTCAGCTTAAACATGAGGATATTCTCTTTAATTTCTTTCAATGTTACTGTGTAAGAATGAGGGTCTTGGAATTTTTTATGGTTATGGTGCAGTGTTTTCAAATTTTTAGGTCATAAAACATTACATGTGAGCATGATGTTTTCATTTGCTGCTTCTCAAAGGATAGAAATTTCTTCCCTAAGCACTGCTGTGACATAATGTGTGGTGGAAACACAGCTATTCTGAGCATCTCCATGTCAAAGGGCCCATTCAAAAGGGCAGAGTGATGTATATATTTATGTACATATGAACGCAGTTTATTTTTTTTTAATTCAGAATTTATTGTCCCAAGTCAGATCCCTGCTCCTAGGACTTTGGTGAGGGCTTTGACCGCTATACTGGTACATATAACATAGGTAATGTCTCATCTGTGAGAGTGTTGGTTTTGGGGAGGGAGGGGGGGCGTTTAATTTGATGATAAGTGGCCTGACTGAGGTGCTTTGTGCCAGCAAGGTGAATATTCTCTGAGAACCCAACCCAGTTCAGGCCTTTTGGGGAGGTGGGCTCTCAGGCACCTTCTTGGTAAATTTTGAATGGCCTGAAGTGTGAGACTGGCACCAGGATGCCAAAGTAGTACATTTGGGTGAGCAGGTGCTCTTATGGATCTGAGCTGTAAATTCTCAGGTCAATGAGAAGTGACTACATGGCTTGTGGGATGTTTCAGCTGTTGATTTCTCTTTTCAGGCTGAGTGGACGATTAGTGAGCGGATGGGCTCTGCTGGGAAGGCTTGTCCTCACACCATGACAGCTGACGAGTCAGAAGCTGGAGAGTTAGCTCTGGAGCCCCTGCTCACTTGCAAGCTATGTCTCTGTGAATACTCCTTGGATAAGATGACCACTCTTCAGGAATGCAGCTGCATCTTTTGTACATCGGTAAGACCTAGCAGTGCCTTTACGTTACAGGAGCAGGGTAATGGGAGATAGACAGAACTGTGAGATGGGGTTGCTTGTCCTGTACTAGAAGCGTGTGTTATCCATGTTGACAGAGGATGCTTTCCTAAAGAGCATTTGGTGTTAGTCTGTCTTGCCTTATTTAAAAGACTTCTCTGTCATTTTGCTTTTGATAATTCATAACTCTAACAGACAAATAATAATAAATCCCAGTAGTAAATGGAAAAAAAAGATGCATTTTAAGACTGGCAGAGAATATACACAGTCTATACGCAATCTCAGTATGTATTTTTTCTGATGCAAAATCTTGAAACATCATAGGATAACTGTGAGATTTTGTTTCCCCATTATCATTTTCTGAGTACTCAGAGACCTTTTAAGTCTTGTATGTAATTTTTAACGTCAATCAGAAAACCTAAACAAAAAAGAACCTTGGCCTGTTGAACCTTTGCATCTTCAGTCTATGCTGCAGAGATGTTGCCCTGGTCATGCATTGCCTATGGTTGTCAGTGAGGACCTTCTGTCCTGCAAATTGAGATCAAATAAAGCTGGTGGAAGTGATAAAGGTGGAGGTTGAGTGAGCTGATAAAAGCCCTACAGATATTAGTACTCTTCTGGTCTCTTTGTCAGCGTGGGAAAATGGACCCAGTTTCTCTGGCGATAGTGACTTTGATGTACCTGACTAATGGAGTTTGGAAACAGGTCAGAAGTCACTGGAAGGATGTTGGTTTTTTTAACTCCAGAATAAATGTACTTGGTTTTATATTTTAACAACAAATTGTGGATAAGCATTAAGCAAGTACGTTTAAGTTTTGCTCTTGATTGTTTGAACTCATGGAAGAAATCTGATATTTGTGAAGCCAGTTGAGTGAGAGTATCTTCACTTACTCTGAATTCAGGGTAGCTTAAATGGGATTAGAGTCTAGCTGTGTGTTTCAAGAAACTAGGGTAAGATTGATTAATATGCATTTTCAGCCTGAACTTCATGAAGTTTGTTTTCCATACCGACTTCCACAAAACATTTCTGTACTGTAGTTTGTAACAAGTTTTAAGAGAACATACCTAAGAGGTAGGTATGAAGATACTGCTTTAAATTAAAAAAATTTGGAGAAGTTGATACCTTCACAGTGGTCCCACTCTTCTCCAAGAATTCAGTGACTCTGATTTAGTATCATTAATGCACATTAACCTCAGTGTTGGCTGGGCAGAGTAAACCTTTTGCCTGTGGGGAAGGGAGGACTGCTGAGGACTGTGCCAGGCAGAGCTGGGCTCTCCACTGCTCCAGGGCACTGGCTACAGGGAGAGGTCAGTGATGGCTGGGGATGTTGCTGTCCCCGCCTGTCCCCTGTTGGTGCCACAGCTGCCACCCCTCACCTGGCCGGTAGCGGGAAGAGCATCCGCTCTGAGCTTGGCTCTCCAGCGCCATGACAGCGAAGTGGAAAGTACAGTCACAGTTGTTTGGCATCTGTGCAAACTTCGCTGACATTGTCTAAGCCAAGAGCCAGCCATGAGTGAGTGCTGAATGCAGCTGGGAGAAGCCTTTAGACATGCTCTATTTATTTCAGTGGGCGTAATATGTCTCGATTGTGCTTATGCTCCATGTCTACCCTTTGTCTGGCTGTTGTTGCTTGTGTCTGAACATCCTCCCCATGGACGTGTCTGGGCTGATGCAACAGAGACACGTAGATCTTGCATCCTATAACAAAGGGGGCTCTGGAAACTTTTAATCTCGCTATATGGCTTTCTGTCTTGAATCCAGAGCAGCTTCTGGGAGGCTGTATGAGTTGTACCTTTGGACAGCCTCCAAAGAGCAGTGTCAGAAGCACCTTGCCACGGAGTGCCTCGGTGCCGGGGCTTGCATGGGGAATTGCTCGGGGCACAGCCCGCAGTAGCTGCACTGGTATGCAATGCCCTAAATTTCCTCCCACCCATGCCAGGGAGATACCTTCACACTGCCCTTCAGACAGATATTGGGGTAAGAATGTCAACTGTGAGCTATGGGATTGAGTCCATATCAGTTTTTCAGCTAGCAATGCTTTCAGCTTGTATAGCTTATTCTTATTTTATATCACTAAGGTTAATTATATAGATCCAAGAGTAGTATTAAATTTGAAATAGAAAAGGGCTTGACATGGACATCATAGGTTCTGCTCTACTAAGGTGAAACTGTTAGTTTTGTTAATTTTTTGTTCTATTACATGTGTGAGGTTTTTTTTTTTTTGCTAACTAATGATGATTCTGCACTATGATTGTTTTTCACTACAGCATTTTTCACTGTGGAAATAATTGGGAATTGTTACTATTTAGGCATCTGCAGGGGCGAGCTTATATCTCCTTTTCACTTGTAGCCTGTAAAACCAAGGAATTTAAATTAGTTAGAATTGTGTACAGCTATTTTTTCAGCTTAGAAACTCCTGTAATAAACATTATACCTCATAAAAGCTATATTCTAGCCAAAGTAAGTAAACTGTGTTTAAGAAAGTGTATGTTTGCATTTTGGTGGAATGTTGCTAGTAAGACAGGAGTTTTTCAAATAGCTATAGGCATTTTTACTCTCTCTATTCAGAGAAGAAAAAGCAGATGGCTTGCAGAACATACTTGCCCTCTTACTTGGTAGCCCAGTCAGGTCTGAAGAGACATCAGCCTTGTATTTCTCAACATTTGTTGCATTTGGCGTAAGACTCCACTGAAATGTGAGATAAAGCACGCGTTTACACATCCCAAGAATTTGGAAATGGCTATAGTGTACCTGATGGCTTGGTTTCATTGTGTTTGGACTGCATTAGTTTCGAATGAAAGACTGATCTCCGAAGAGGGTTGGGCAGGGATGTGAGGTATATTTTATCTGCAAAAGTTTTAGAGGACTGCACTTTATATTATTCAGGTCATTTCCTGTACCTATAAAACCTTTGCGGAGTGCCATGCTGTGGTGTACACTCTTACATATATTCAGCGATATATGTATTGCTTAAGCTGCATGGTTTTATGCTACTTGCCCCATTCCTGAAAAGGGAGGGCGTCTCATCTGTTCCTGATACTGCTTATTTTGTTTTCTGTCTTGCCAGTCATCCTTCTTGTATATTTGGTGGGATGTTCTTCCTATCTGCAGTCCCTTGTGCTTACCTTGTCTTGCAACTTTTTCTTCCTTGGATGCAACCATGTGCAACTATACAGGTTTTTGCCCCTGTAGTGGCCGCATCGCTCACATATGTACATAAAATAATTATACACTGTGTCTGGCTACACCGTCACAGTGTTACAAAATATAGTATTTTAGTGCACTTATATCTGGGTCCAAAGCAAACTAATATTAATTACATCCTGCTTGATACACTTACAGAATTATATTTTGAATATTACACTTATTTCTAGTCAATTTTCCTGCATGTTTGTATCCTTTGCTCTTCTCTTTCCTCCCCCAGATAGCTCCAGCAGTGCCTCACTCAGGCAAGACTCAGGAGTGCTCGTCAGGGTAGTGCCAGAAATGGACGGGCCGACCTCTCTGCTTTGCCTTTGGAGGGAGCACTGGCTGTTGCCCAGGCTTTGGCGCTCATTAGACTGGCTGGAAAGTATACATCTTGGAGACTGCTGCCTTTTCAAAACCTGGCTGAAACTGGGAAAACAGCTGGGAGAGATGATGAGTGGTGTGATTGCATGCTCCTCGCTTCCTCTTGCTAGAAATGCCCTGGTAGCTGGCACAGCATAAATTACCCTTTGGAAGCAGTAGTGAGGAGTGCAGGACTAGTAGTAACAGTGGAAATACTAAGGACCCTATGAAAGAATCGGTGTGAGTCTGTAGCCTGTAAGCAGTCATGGAGGTGAGGTTTTACCAGGTGTGGTAAGATTGCCCTGGTGGCAGTGATGACAGAAGGGAACCAGTGCAGTGCTGTTATGGAAAACATGGTTTTGGGGGTCAGTAAAAAAGCCGGTGTCAGCTTCTTCCCTGCATGCCAATTCTGTTTGGTTTTGTCTTTCTTCTTTTCCCCCCTCCTCGTAAACATTTCAGAGTCCTGACGAGAGCCAGGTGAGCAATAAATGGCATTGCTGCTATTTACATCAAGCAGCAGCTTATATCCACCTTGTGTGTTACTTACTGGAACAGGGTTCGAGGTGCCTGAGACAACATGTAACAAACTCTGAAAACAGAATATACTGTCATGTATTTGATTCCGTGTTGTCAGCACATGTTTATGCAGAACTTGCATGATTCACCCTTCTTTTTTTCCAAGCAAATTCTTTGTTGGGTCTTGTACTTCTGAGAAGTGTGTGAGGTAACTGAGTTACAAAACGTGCAAAACAATATCATGATGATCCACCTGTTTGTTATTTTGATGCACACAATGCAGGCTAAATGAGATTAAACTTCATGCAACCTTAAAAGGAGAAGTCAGTGTGCAATGTTGAATAGAAGCACAGGTAGCTTCTGTGCTCTCTTGGCTGTTCTACAAGTATAAGGTGATCCGAAGGCATTTGGGAGAACAACATTTTCTGCTGTAGCTATGTGTGACAGCAAGGCCAGGGCTAGACATGGGTGAAAAAGGCTCTTTTGCTGCTGTTGACAGCCTGGCGCCCTGGGCAGCTGCCTGCCTGACAAGTCAGGGCCTTGGGAGGCTGCAGCCTCCAAGAGAGAGGCTTGCATGCTGCTGCCAGCTACTTTTGCTAGAGGGGAAGGGGAAACCCTTCCAGAAATAGGAGTTTCTCTGTTGCATTTCACCAGCAGGACACTCTTAAGGCTCCTCTGCCTTCCTTAATCTTTTTAAGAGCACCTGTGCGTTGCCCTGCCTCCTTCAGGTGGCTAAATACTGACATTTTGTCTTTAGTGCTGTGAAGCCTCAGATCACTTGTGCAGGGGAGCATTGGAGAACTGGAGACAAACTGATGTGAAGGATCAGCATCATCAGCAAAAAGCAGGGGTAGAAAAGCCTGAGAGTAGAGGAGACTGGATGAAAGACAAGGAGGAGGCAGATGACAAAGGGCGTGGG